CATTGTTTGTGATGATGGTTGTGTTAATCTTGCATGTCAGGATACCACCTGGGTTGCAGATTCAGCAGCTTCTTACCATGTTACACCCCGACGTGATTTTTACACATCCTACACTGCTGGTGACTTTGGTCAAGTTAGGATGGGAAATCAAGGGATGGCTAGTGTTGTGGGCATTGGAGACATTTGGTTGGAAACCAATACTGGGTGCAAGTTGCTACTCAAAGATGTTAGGCATGTGCCTGATATGCGCCTACACTTAATCTCTACAGGTACTCTTGATGAAGAAGGCTATCACAATTACTTTGGAGATGGTAAATGGAAGCTCTCCAGAAATTCCCTGATTGTTGCTAAAGGGAAGAAAATGGGTCTCTACATGTCACAAGCCAAGGTGATCAAAGGGGAGGTGAATGCAATTGAAGATTGCTCTACTGATCTGTGGCATAAGCGGCTTGGACATTTAAGTGAGAAAGGCCTTGGCATCCTTGCCAAGAAGAACTACCTTCCATTAAAAGGTATGAACTTGAACACATGTACTCATTGTTTAGTTGGCAAACAACACAGAGTTGCATTTCAAAGATCACTTTCACATAGAAGATCACATGTTCTTGATTTAGTTCATACTGATGTTTGCTCTATGATTGACAAGTCTCTTGGGGGTGCATTGTACTTTGTTAGTTTTATTGATGATCACTCCAGGAAAATTTGGGCCACTTGTTTGAAATCCAAAGATCAGGTGCTTGATGTCTTTAAGGATTTCCATGCCAGAGTTGAAAGAGAAACTGGTAGAAAGCTCAAATGTGTTCGAGCTGACAATGGTGGTGAATATAGGGGTCCTTTTGAGAAGTACTGCAGGGAACATGGTATCAAGTTGGAGAAGACAGTTCCTAAGACTCCACAGCAGAATGGAGTGGCTGAGAGAATGAACAGAACCATTGTTGAAAGAATTAGATGTATGCTTTCTCATGCAAAGCTGCCTAAGTCTTTTTGGGGTGAGGCAATGAAGACTGCAGTTGCAATGATCAACCTTTCTCCATCAGTTCCTCTTGAATTTGATGTTCCAGATAGAGTTTGGAAAGGAAAAGATGTCTCTTATGCACACTTAAGAGTGTTTGGATGCAGGGCATTTGTACATGTTCCTAGAGATGAAAGGTCTAAGCTTGACAGCAAGACAAAGCAGTGCATTTTCTTGGGCTCTGAAGATGATGAGTTTGGCTATCGGTTATGGGATCCAAAGGAGAAGAAAATTGTGAGAAGTAGAGATGTTATCTTCTTTGAAGATCAAACCATTGAAGACTTTGAACAAAAGGAGAAAACAGAGTTCACTGTTTTTATTCCAACTAATTCAAATCCAAGACCTACTCCACAGTTACCTTTAATGCCTGCTAATCATGGGGGAGACTTGCAAAATGATGGTGGTGGTGGTTCTCTTATTGAGCCATTAGTTGGTGATCCTGAAGCAACTAATGATGATGTTGATGTTATTCCTGAACAGGTTATGCAGGAAGCTTCAGATGAGCCACAATTGAGAAGGTCAGCTAGACCTCGCCAACCTTCCACCAGATATTCTCCTCATGAGTATGTGTTGGTCACTGATAGGGGAGAGCCAGAATGCTTTGATGAAGCTATGTCACATGAGAAGAAAAGTGAGTGGTTGAAAGCAATGCAAGAAGAGATGAAATCCTTGCATGAAAACCATACCTTTGAGTTAGTGAAGCTTCCTAAAGGTAAGAGAGCACTCAAGAACAAATGGGTGTTCAGGTTGAAAATTGATGAACATTGCTCACAGCCAAGGTACAAGGCAAGATTGGTTGTGAAAGGCTTCGGACAGAAGAAAGGTATTGATTTTGAAGAAATCTTTTCACCAGTGGTCAAGATGTCTTCAATCCGAGTTGTGCTTGGCTTAGCTGCTAGTTTGAATCTTGAAGTAGAACAACTTGATGTGAAAACTGCCTTTCTTCATGGTGATTTGGATGAGGAGATCTACATGGAGCAGCCTGAAGGTTTTGAAGCAAAAGGTAAAGAGCAGCTAGTTTGTAAGTTGAAAAAGAGCTTATATGGGTTAAAGCAAGCTCCAAGACAATGGTATAAGAAGTTTGATTCTTTTATGGTGGATCATGGTTATGACAGGACCACTTCTGATCATTGTGTATTTATGAAAAGGTTTCCAGATGGAAACTTTATTATTCTCTTGTTGTATGTGGATGATATGTTGATTGTTGGCCATGATGCTAAGAAGATTCAGATGTTGAAGGAAGAGTTGAGCAAGTCTTTTGCAATAAAAGACTTGGGACCAGCAAAACAGATTCTTGGTATGAAGATCACACGTGACAGGAAGAAGGGAAAACTTTGGCTATCTCAGGAGAGATATGTTCAAAAGGTACTTGAGAGATTCAACATGAGCAACTCCAAACCTGTTTGTTCTCCACTTGCAAGCCACTTTAAACTAAGTTCTAAGCAGTGTCCTTCAAGTGATGAAGAAAAAGATGAGATGAAAAAGGTTCCTTATGCATCCGCAGTTGGTAGCTTGATGTATGTCATGGTTTGCACAAGGCCGGATATAGCTCATGCAGTTGGTGTGGTTAGTCGGTTCCTCTCCAATCCTGGTAAAGAACACTGGTCAGTAGTGAAATGGATACTCAGGTATCTCAAAGGTACTTCTAGTTTTGGTTTATGTTTTGGTAATGATAAACCTATGTTGGATGGATACACAGATGCAGATATGACTGGTGATGTTGATTCTAGAAAGTCCACATCAGGATACTTGATGAAGTTTGCAGGGGGAGCAGTCTCATGGCAATCAAGGTTGCAAAAATGTGTTGCATTATCCACTACAGAGGCCGAATATATTGCTCTTACTGAAGGGGGCAAAGAGTTGTTATGGATGAAGAAGTTCTTGCATGAACTTGGCCTAGTTCAAGAGAACTTTGTATTGCACTGTGATAGTCAAAGTGCAATCCATCTCAGTAAGCATCCTACTTTTCACTCTCGATCAAAGCACATTGAGGTTAGATATCAATGGATTCGAGATGCTATGGAGATGAAGTCATTCGTTGTTAAGAAGATCCATACTGATGACAACGTGTCTGACATGATGACCAAACCTCTACCGAGAGAGAAGTTTGAGTTTTGCAGAAAGGAAGCAGGCTTGTTAGAGCCTCCTAAATTGAATTTTACATATTGATCGCCGGTATGGCGAATTCCTCACATGGTGTGTGAGGGGGAGATTTGTTGTGTATGGTCCCACACCATGTGATGGTGGGACCACCACATTAATTTTCA